TTACACAAAATGGTGATCATAAGCAGACTTGGGCAACAGGACTTGTAAAAAACAGCTCTCAAACTCTGCTCCAGATGTGTTACAGTGGCATTAGTGCAATAAAACCCATTCCAATGCTAATTCTCAAATAAAAATCCTCAGTCCTTGAAGGCACAAATACACAAAAAGTGAGTCAGTTTCCAACAACTCGGCATCTTGTTTTATGTCAATTAAAAAAATTCAACCCATTAAAAAAAATAATTATTTAACAGTACCTTTAGACTAATCCCATTTCATATCCTAACTGCAGAATCCAATATTTTCAGATACATGAAGGTAGCCAAACCAATGCCAAAAATCAAAGTCACAGCCTTTGAGCTCAGGAAATACAGAACAGTGCAAAACCATTTTCAACAAGACAGAAGAAATTAATCAAAACCTGTGAACAGATGGGAGTCAGTCGAAGATTGTAATACTGCTTTATGAAGGATCTGGGCAAGGGAAAACTATTGCCTCACTCAGAGAATATGCCTGTGTCTCTGAAAAGTCTCAAAGTGCTATCTTGATGTCTGCCAACACTTAGGTAGGCACAAGAACTGCAAAGGATTCAAAGAATCCTGATTTTGGAAAATGTGAAATCCATACAATTTAAACACAACCATCTAGAGGTTGCTTAGAAAGCAATTGAGAAATGCCAAACCACTTTCTCACATACCTTGTTAAGAACATTGGTTTGTTTATTTCCAGTGAAATGATACTTGAATCTTTTCTGAAGAGGATTCAGCATGATCTGTATCGGAAGGACAATTGGTGGTGAAGGGGGTAAAGGGTACTTTTCTGGCAACTGTTTAGGTTTGGTTAATAGCTCATTTCTAAGTTTGACAGTCAAGGATGGACATAAGTGTTGAATTATCCCAGCATCATCATTTTACTAGACAAACACTGCTTAGTTCTACAGCATCGACTGAAGGCAGTATTATGAAAACAATACAATTCCTCAAATATAAAAGATATTTAAAACATTCCACTTTACATAATATTAAATATAACTCAGGCCATTAGACATTATTTATTCAATGACAATACACACTCCTTAAGTCCGTTTGATTTAGGAAACTTATAAGAACCCAGCAAACCACCATTGTCAGAAACAAACACAGTGGCTGTCCAAGAGACACACTTATTCATATTTGTTAAAGGAGAATAAAGACTCCTGGGATTAATAAATGCAATACATGATTTCCCATTTTCATGTAATAGATTTAAGTGAGCCAGTCTGCCAAACCAAAATTGGTGCCAACTCAGGATTGTGTACAATGGCCTTGCACCTTTCCACTACATGATTAAAAAAACCAAAAAAACTGGCAGCCATAGTCACACATACAAAGACTTCATTGAGCTTTAATTTTAACTAATTTTTTGTGAATTATTTAATTCATAAAAATCAGGAACAGAATGAGCGGCAGTGCCCTCTAAGCAACCTCAAAGGCAGACTATGATTGTTGCACGACAGAAATCCTTATGCAGTCTCCCCTTTTTGTAAAGTCTCCTTCCAAGACATGTATGTTTAGTTTTCCCTCTTTTTCTTCTGGGGTGAGACATATTAAAGTGATTAAAGCTGATTTCATATAAGGCTATAAAAGGGAAAGCATTAACTGTGGCTAATAAAACACACATCACACCATTTTTTCATTAACATGCATGGGTAATGGTACCAAACAGTGTAAGGCCAAATCCTCATGCAACCTCAATTGTCAGCTACCATGAGAGCACTGGATCTGATGATTTGGAGTTAAAATGTTGCTACTGACAAAAAGGACGACTTTGGCACTTGGCTTTTTCTAAATGCCAAAAAAAACCTAAACAAAAGCCCCCACAACATTCTAATGTTAATACAAAGCAACATAAATTATGTCTCTAGGGAGAGTAAAATTTCAAATAAATCTCCTTGAGAATGTGAATCTCTAACAGTTTTTATACATGCTAAAATACACCACAAGAATTTAAAAGGATACGAGGTTTGCAGTTTCAGAAGCTGACAGAACAGCATCTCCAAGTTGTTGTACACCTCAGGAGCGTTGGCTGGTGCAGCAAGGCCAAATGTCTGGGACTGAGGTGGCCCCACAAAGGGCCAGCGGAGCTGTGTCAGCACCTCCTCGAAGTCACTGCGACATAAAATAAGCACTTGGATGTGAACTTACAGTACAATGTAAAGATGAGGGAGTCACAGTATCTCTCTTACCTTGTCAATTTGTCCTTAAGGATTTTATGCCAGAATTTAACAGTGGATCTCACAAAAGCAAGAAGATGAGAACAAGATGACTCCTGAAGTTTAATATCCAGTTCTGCCATGAATGCTAGAGTACTGGCTGCCTCTGGAACATTGTTGGTCATCAGGTATTGCTGAATGCTATCACTATAAAACACAAAAAAGTCAAGGCCGAATATTCATTAATGATAACAGAAAATAATAATTTGTGTATTGAAAAGTGAAGACAAAAATTTCTTGAATTTAAAATATTTTAATAATGGGATAAACCAGGTTACCAGCCTCAGAACATATATACAGTACTCAGAAATTTTACCTCAGCTCTTCTATGCGAGAAATCCACTTGAGGTAGGCCAGATGTCGCTCGATCTCTTCGACCTGACCAATCAGTACATCGAGATCCTCCATCCATGGCTCAGCTTTCAGCAAGTGGCTATTGATGGACTCAGACAGAACAGTTTCTTCCTCTAGAAGCTGACTCAGAGACTTTTTGGAATCTTCCGCATTCTTTAAGGCATTCTGAATTCTTTTAGGAACTTCTGACGAAACTGTAAGTACCTGCATTGACATAGAAGTATTAATGCAGACATAAAACCATTGCACTGTGTAGAGCAGTACCATTTGAGATACGGATACATTTAATTTAGTTTCATATTCTTATTCATATTCTCAGTCATGTAACATGTTCAGAAGAAGGAAAAAAAAAAACCAGAAAGATGCTTACCTGTTCCTCTAAATGCTTTTTATTTTCAGATAGCTTTTCAATCAGACTATCTAGCTTCCCCAGTGACTCATAGTCATTTCCAAGTTCTCTTTCCACAAATTCAGAAACATAGTATGGAATATCACAGTGGTCTAGATCTCTAGTGACTTCTTTCTTTTTAACAGCAATGCTTGCCATGTTTTCTTTCTCTGCAATACTGAGGATACAGTTTCTAATTAGCCAACACAAAGACAGCACAAACAAATATTATCTACAGAGGAACAAAACTCCATGAAAAACTGGGCAGTTCAATTCAAACTGAGACTGAAATACCATATTCATGAATTATACTGTTTAAATAAGACAATTTGCTGGCTTAAGTCTAATCTGAGGTCTGATAAAACTTTGCTTACATATCCAACTGGTGATTTATTATATATTAACTACCAAAGAGAAATATATCTGTTAATTTCTTCCTTCCCCAAAAGCATGAATTCTATTTAAAATGGTTCAATAAGTAAGTAGTTCCTATATATATATAATACAGAAAACTTAATGAAAGGTACAAAAAAAATACAAGTTGCAAAGGAAGATGTTCCACTTTCCCTTTTCACAAGTTTAGGATATTTCAGAGACACCAACTCATCACTAATGTGTTACTAGCAAAGTATCTATATGGGCCTCACAATAATTTGGAAAGTAAATGCATCACTGAAATATTTACCAAAAAAACCCCACAGAGTATAACATAAAAGATGCTGATCCACACATTTGGCAGCATCCAGAGAAACCTGACATTGAGATGTTCACAGTGAAACAAAAAAGGCAACAATGACAACTGTTTGGCTAGTTCAATCCTCAACTTCTTAGTATCACTTTCAAAACAGTATTTAAAAATAAAAACCTATACACTTACACTTCGTCTGCTACAAGCTTTAATTAAATTAAAACCCCTATTATACTGACAACAGCACAGAGAAAATGGTACAGCTGATGAGCCAGAGTTGCAGAGGCAATAGAGAGCACCAAAAAGAACTAACTGGGTGACCAAGGGTGCTGCAGAGGAAGAAGCAAAGAAAACAGAACAGGAAAACTCCTGTTTGCAGCAACCTAAACATAATATGGCAGGAAGAAAGATAACCGAGCGATGCTGTTTTCATACTTAGGGAAAAGGATCGGGTTACAGGAGAGAGGAACAGGACTCTAGGCGCATCACTCCCAGCAGCTGCCTGTTCAGCCCCGCGGCTCAGCACCCACCTCGGACAGAGGGCTGGGCCCTTCCAAGGGCCGGCTGGAGGCTCTGCGAGCTCCGGGAGGCTGCGAGCGAAGCGCCGCCGACCACGGCCCGGGCTGTGCGGCCAGGCAGCCCCTCAGCCCGGCGGCGGCTCGGCTCGCCCTTCCTCCCCCACCACGGGCGCTGGCCGACGAGCCGCCACTTCCCCTCGCAGGATGGTGCCACGGGGACGGGAAGCCCGCGGG